GAAAAATTAGTTTATAAAAATGGTGATGAAGCAGACGTGAGGTAATGGATAAAGATTCAAAGATGTTCATAATGCTATATATAAAATAAGACCGAAAGTATCTTAGAAAAATAATGCTTAGGGATACACAGAGGTGAAAAACAACAACTGAGATACGAACAAGATGATATACGAACCTTCTCGTTAGAGTGATTTAATAACTACATAATGTTACAAAGGTTTGGTTATACAAGAAAATTAAAACGGAAGCACTGTATACCTAATTACTTTCAATTTATCAGTCATCGAGATGGCTCACTTAACTACCCACCAGAGTTAACTATGACATCATCGCACTGAAAACGATAATTTAACGTAATTAATAAGTGCAAAATAGACAAGAAAAGGTCCGGTTTGTTTGTGTTTTTATGGCTCAATGGTATTCACTAAACTCATACTAAATGAGCAGCTTGGGCCTACTTTCACAAGCCTACGCATAGACTCCATGTATCATTGATATTATAAAATATACTAACCTTTCAAGAGCTAGCAGAAAAAGAAGGAAAAAAAATTGATTACGAATCCGCTATATAAGCTGTTTTGTTTGTATTAATTTTCACTAGTTTTCTTAATAGTTTCAGTGACTGAAATATTGTTTATATTTAACAATGCTTACGTGACAATATGAATGACTTTCACTAGCGAAGTTACAACACAGAACCTTTTTTATTAATTGTGTGTGTGGATATTAGTAGCCCCATTACCGGCAGATGTTATCAGTCACTCTATCCTGCTGCAGCAATGACTCTGATAAAAAGAAGCAAATTCATTTTTTGATCATAGTAGTATCTACAAAAATTATCAGTTTCATAAACGTGCTAGTGAAATACAACTGGAATTATACTTAATTAATATCGGATCACAAATGGTTTATACATTGTTGTAAATCAAAGCTAAAAATAAATAAATTAAACATATTGCTAACTTAAAATAGTATAATTTCATTAATCTTGGATTATATTCAAGATATTTGCATTTATAACACACAGTTTAAGCGGATTCAGTTCGACTTAAATCAATTAAAATGTTCAGTGCTAAGTATTCAATATTGAATTCTGAAAAAAACAACAAAAGGGTATTACAAGTAAGAAATAGTCAAAATGATTGATGAAAAACTAATAATGTTTGAGCTCTAGGTTACAAATGTTAATCCGAACATTTCACCGTAGTTTATAGTGTAAACAAAATATAAAGTATTAGCACAATGTAGGTTTAGATTTGAAATGTTTACATGATATGGCGATTTGAATTATTTAATCACCTAATGAATTTAATGTATATTTTACTTGAAAGAACTGGAATACATTATATAGAAATGTTATCGTTTCTTTGGTGAAATAAAAAATAAATTGACACCAACTTGCGTACAGCTGTATTCGTATAACACCATATGTTTACTGAAAACACTGCGTTTGCGTGCAACGCCCTCTATTTTATTTTATTTATTTTTTCTATTTAGATAACATCCTCCGGTTTTCCAGACCACCAAGATTCATTCCTAGTAGTAAATAAATAAATCGGGGAAATTTGTGGCACAAAAAATACAACAAAGACATCGTTTCTACTAGAAAAACGTTGCACATCTGTGGCCCATATAACTTACTTTTCGCACAAGTGATAGGAAAATATATATAATATGATTTAAGAAAATATGCCTAAAGCTTTCATATTGCTCATTACTTAGAAATAAAGCAGCAGATTATATGAAAAAAAAAGAGAAAATGTAATTTATTTGTAGCGCATAATATTAAGAAAAATATCTCTTTGGATGCAATATCTCTCTTGTGAAGCAATAAATGCATATGTCCTTGGAATAACAATTTATTCTTGGGTGCGGGTTGGCCCTATGGTAGAACTTCAGAACTTGCGAGTTATATTCGAGTTTGTGCAATACCACAAAATATTCCTCACTTTGTAAGACGTGACTGCGTTATAAGAGTTACAGTCAATTTCTTATCGTGGATGATGGGTGGTGGAGTAATGCTTACTGGCTGTCTTCTCTCAAAGTCAGTAGTTCAAAATTATGGACGGCGGCAAATCGTCTTAGTAACTTAGCCATAAATACAAATACAGTTTGTTTTTACTACTAAGACTATTCAGTAACTGTAGTATACTAGTTGCTTCAAAACATTTTATCCTACAAAAGGCCTGGAGCTTAATTTGTTTTTCATTATTAAAATAATTCATTCTGCTTGGCTTCTTGCCGTTTCTGTTTGGAGAATCGCAAACATTATAGTTTTAAACTAAATATTAGTATTTACTACTCTCCAGAAACGTCAATAACATCTTAGTCAACAAACAATTTAGCGTCCTAGAGGTGATGTAATGTCAAAAGACGTTTGTTTAACAGTGTAATTTTTAACAACAAAGCTCGTATTTTGCCAAAGTCGAAACTTCTATTAAATGAAAGGAATTGAACTAGAAAAAAGTGTTATTAAAGTACACTTGTTCACAGTTAAACAACTTAGGATGTTCTATGCGTCGATATATATAAATATTTTTACCTTCTGCCATTTTGTTGAAAATTTGTTAATCAAAGAAGTTTTTCAAATATTTAGATATGAAACATTAAGTTCTATATATATATACATTTTACTTTCAGTACGTTCGAAAAACAGGATACAATCTTTTAAAACTCACGTTACGTCAAGGGGAAATAACGCTCACAAATGTATTTCGATAACATAGGAAATGTTTGTTAAATTCGAAATTTCATAACCCTAGTCTATTATCACGATCCATTTCGAATCTTCTTCAAAGGAGCTGTTTAACCAGCACATCCCTCTTCCTTCATTAGGAACAGTTTAACCTCTGTATAAACAGAAGACATCCGGGACAGCTGTAACCAAGATACGCATTACGCATTCACAGCGTGCTTTATGTAAACTATATACATGCATACACAGAACGTCCAACAGAGTATTTTTAGCACAACAGTTTATCCTAATATACGTTTTAGACGGTCATCGTAGATCAGTCAAAAACTCGTCTACAAACTATTGGCTAAAAGGTTCTCAATGAACGCTTAATAAACAATGATTTTATAACAAGCGTAGGTGTCGTCACATGTTGTAATAAAACTGCTATTACAAAATCAACAATTCGGGTTGCATAGCTCAAGCAAATGTAAAAAATACCAGCGACTATTTCAATTTTTGTAAAAAAAAAATCAATATTCTACAGTTTTAAACCACAAATACAAGCTCAACTAAACAATAGTATTTTTTACAAAATTAATAGGAATGATTGTTCATAAAAGATGGATATGTATTTCATACAGGTTCGTATTGTTAATTAGGATAAATGTGATATATCATTTGCTATAACTATTTCTAATATAGAAATATTTCAATAATAGTATCTTGAAATCTTGATCTTAATAATGAAATGAATGTATAGAAAGTCAAAGATGGGTCTGCACTAGGTATTCATAACTATTTCAACAAAACACTAATTTCTGCAAGAAAAACCGTATATTATAACATCTAGAATAATACACATACATATATATTCTATTACTTCATACGGAGTTATATAAATGACATTACCAGTGGAAGTTCATTTATAGAAACGAGTAGATTGATTATTCTTCTAGTTAATTGCACTTAACTTTTGCAATAATGAAAACTGTACACAGCACTATCTTCGTTTTGGTTATCATGTCCGTGTTAATTTTTTAACGTCTTGCTTGATTTAAGTATTTCTTTTCCGAATGTTTCCCTCTAAACGAGTGAAAATCTTATAGCAACTAAAAAAAAACCCATGCGTTTGTAACAAAAAAACAAATATTTACATTTACCGAAATAGTTTTTACAAAATACCAGTAATCTTTCATTAAACATTATCTCCCTAATATCTTATCAAAAAACATTATTCATATGGTGAAAAAAATAGGCCTGTCGAGGCAGTCATCACTCAAAATGTCAAATGTTGTGCAGCAATGACATTTATCTTATGTAACAATGACACTCATTGTTGCTCAAGAGGGATTGAGAAAGTTTTCGATAAACGAAAACTATTAAATGTAAATTATAGGTTATAAGAGACTTGGTAATGAATACTCTTTATAATTTATACTTTATTTAATATTTTTGATAAAATAAATCATTATTACAATTTCAAAACTATATTCATGTTATTAGTGTGACATTTGGGCTCAAGTTTTATATATGAGAATTTTTCATAAAAATATTCAGAAAATTATTTTTCAAGAAACTATAATTTAATATATCTTTAACATTAACTACTTTACATAAGTTTATTTTGAAACATACTGTTTTTGACTTATTTCCTTGTATTTTGCCAATTTTCTATGATAATCCCAAACTTTTTATCCCGAAATTACAACCCCATTTTTTGCTATAGGGTAAATTACAGAATAACAGGAAGTACATAAACATATTTTTCGAAATAAATATAGTGCAAAAAGTCATTTAACGAGCAAAAGCAGAAACTTAAAAAATTGAAGATCTGCAGTATGACCTTCAATAACTTGAAATTAGTTAATTGATCACACTCACACACATATCTATATATACAAACAATCACAAGTCTATGATCTTATGTCAGTTCGAGTATGGACGTTTTCTAAGGATTTTGGATAGAGTTTGTTTGTTTTGAATTTCACGCAAAGCTACACGAGGACTATCTGCGCTATCCGTCCCTAATTTAGCAGTGCAAGACTAGAGAGAAGGCAACTACTACTCATTTCAAATTTTTACATGCATAAGAACGAAGAGGATGAAAATAATTTATCTTTATGGCTTTATCTCTTCGTAAAGTTAAAGCAAAATTGAAATTTCAACTAATATATTGTACTATTTTAAGTTGGCTAGAAATTAAAACTTAGGTTTATAAAATTTTAAGAAAATTTCCTTTAATCCTGGAACACTTATGATCTGCTCAGCTTTGATGAGATACAAACTACATTAGATCGAAACTGTGGGAAAATTATATTTTACCTGTGATATCGTCAAAAGACTCTTCTTGTCAGCTCCCCCTTCCAAACGAAACCCCCATGGGATGGACTTATCGTTTCTTTGAAGAAGAATGTTTAGAAGTTTCTCCATCTCGTCAGAAATAGATATACCAAAGCGATGGATTCTGTTAAAATAAAATGACAAAAATGTTTAAAAGTATTCTTGCTCGAAATCCACTAGAATTGTAAACTTAAAACATAAGCAATATATTTTGAACTTGGCGAATGTTTTCAATGGACCATTATCTGGTGAAATGATAGAGAGGAGGTGCTTTGGTCTACAAACGAATATCTTCTTTATATCTTATAGAAGTAACATCGATTCTCTCTCTCTACCATTTCTCCCAAAGATCGTCCCTTAAAACCCTTCGTCGACTATTTTCTACCTGCTAACTCTGCCTTTCAAAGAACATTTTTAATTTATCAAATATCTTGTTTCACCAAAACTATATTAGTATTGTAGCTGTCTAGTCGGTCGCATAACATAAAACGAACACATGAATGTTTCAAACAGAAATGTAGGGGATGGTTAACATTTTAGGATGAAATAACAGGAAGGATAAAGAACAGATCAGTTTATAGACTGTATGAGCTGAAATGTGGTGAAAGTATATCATACCAACCGTCTCTGCTTGGCCAATGGTGATGAAGCACGAGACCACGTGCCACAAGTTCGTACCCTCTACCAGTCCCCACGATATTGTGCTGCAGCATGTCAACACAGTCTTTGGAACATGTGGAGGACAGGACTCATGAACTCACTGTTTGGTTAACAGTTAAAACGACAAAATAACATCGTAGGCGGCTGGCACTTCAAACAAACCTCTAGGAGAGAAATACTTACACGAGGTTCCTATTTTTTTTAATATCATAAGGTTGCTGGAATGACGGTTTTATTAAAAATGTCTTATTTTAATTATAATCTTCATTTGTAGCACATTTACAGTACTGAACATGTTTACTCAGTCATTCCTTCAGACCTTCCAGTGGTACAGCGGTATGTCTGCGGACTTACAACGCTAGAAACCGGGTTTCGATACTTGTGGCGGGCCCATTGTGTAGCTTTGTATTTAACTTGGAACAGATCAAAACCATTTCTTCAGAACACTGAAAAAAAAGGATACATGATATTCTCAAATTTTTAATCATAGAAAGTTGAAACATAAAATTTGTCATCAATTTTAGCGCTATCATTTAAAGGAAAGAACTAAATTAAACAACAAAAACTTGCTTTACTTGACTTCTGAAGAGGTCTTGCATTATACTGCTTGACTGTGTATTCGTATTTGTCTGTCTGTGTATCATTTAGCTCAATTAATATCTCACAAACTTAGATCAAGCACAGTGGAATAATAGTCCTGTATTCAATTTCCAAAATTATTAGTATTTTCCTTATTTTTAAAACCATTTGTCGATAACGTTAGTTTTCAAAATTTATCACTAAGCATTTATATCCCTTGGATATTTTCCATTTTCAACTGGCAATAAAAAATTATTAAGGGCATATTTGTAAGAAAAATAAAACATTTTCATAAATAGCTAAAAAAACAACAGCAAAAAACACTAATCTTCCACTAAGCTTTCTTGCTATATTATGTTATCAAAATACATTATTCATATCGTCAAAAATAGGCCTGTCGAGGCAAGCATTGCTCAAAATGTCAAATGCCGTGCAGTATCGACATTTATCTTGCTATAACACTGACACTCAAGATCTCCATGACTTTACCCTTTCCTAGCATGAAATATAGACTGAAATTTGAACTAACTAATTATATTATCTTAAAGAACACCACTAGGTTTAAGGTTCAAAACGTAGATTTATAAAATTCTAAGCAAAAATTTCCTCTAATCCTGCCAGTGAAAAAAGTTGAGATCTTTTTTTTCATCAGGAATGTTACGTTTTTCCACTGGAGTTAACTCAGGTCTTCCTTCCGAACAAGAATCTCAGCTATAGTGAACTATCGTCGAAGCTATTACAAAATGAGCAAGAAATATTTTTCTGGAGAATAAGTTGTATGTTAATATAACTAATCTAAGTTAACGACTGTATGTGTATTTTAATCAGATTTTAAACAAGGTTGAGTAATTTTTCTATAAATCCTGAATTGTTTGATTGTTAAGAAAGAATTGTGAAAAAAAAAATCTGATATATTAAATAAATGACTTTTTTTGTTTAAAAAAGTTGATATTCTATAGAGTGGAATATTATGACTCATGCAGAATTGTTTGAGTGTCAAAATGCGTTGTTATTGTTTGTTTGTTTGTTTGAAGTTAAGCACAAAGCAACACAATAAGCTATCTGTGCTATGCCCATCACGCGTATCCAAACCCGGATTCTAGCGTTGTAAGTCCGTAGACATGCCGCTGTGCCATTAGGGGGCGCGTTGTTATTTATCCTGTTTTTCTGCAATGACAATTCCCATAAACTGTGTTTGGCTATTCTCCTTAAACCTACTAATTGCTGACTGTGAACTTAATAATGATTTCTTCAGCATTAAAATTAATTCCTTTGTCCCATTTCTTTTTTTCAACTATAAATCATGAGTAAATACACCGTAAGTTAAGATTTTGTAAAAGCAGTATGGTTAAAGGTATTGTTTTTGAATCAAAACATTATTAGTAATATATTTTGGTGTAAAAAATTTATTAAGATTTTTAGTGCCAAGAAACGTGTTTTCTTTTGTTTGTTTTTAAACATCCCAGGTTTTTTTTATTATTATTATTACAACAGCGACCGTAACCTTCATTAGGGCTAACTTCAGATGTTTTTGTTGCTTAGAGGGGAGAAGAGGAGCGTGTTTCATTACACAAGCATGTAATAAGAAAGAAAGACTGCAGACAGACTATTTTTTTCACTGGTCGCCGAAGAAACAGCTGCACGTACAGAGTTGACATTAGAGGAACGAAATTCCAAGAGTGACGTAATAAAACGCTAACGAAGCAAGGACTGTGAGAGAAAGATTTTCTGAACTTTGAAGATATCACCGTCCTATTTTAAAAAGAAATAAGCAAATGTTGGAGATTGAGCTGTAAACAAAGGTGCATTCAGGGTTCAAAAAGTGAATACTCGAGTTCGCTAATTGAATCTCGTTGAACTCTACAAATAAAACGTGACTGGTTATTCTAAAGTTGGCTAAGCATGTCATCTTAGTGCTCGTAGTTGGGTGAATAATATAGAAACGTGTGTGCACTTGTTTTTGTCAATATAGTATCTTCGGATCGTTACCATAATAAAACCTTCTACAGTGATAAGTGTGCTAGAAATCACATGTTATAAAAACAAGAACAAGAAATTATTAGATGAGAATATTACGAGAAATCAGCCAGAAATAAGCATTTTAGTATAATATGTTTCTACAATAATTTTAAAACTCGTTTCCAGAGCAACCATAATAAGATATCGTATGATATTTGAGAACCTATATGTTTAAAATCAATTAATAAGACTGTAGCTTTATTTGTAGAGCTTAATGTTCAATAAACTACTGTTGAACATGTAATTGCTACACATCGGACTTAAAGTATCTTAAGCAATGTTGTAGCCGGATAATTTTTTTTGGGGATGGGGTGACTTAATTTGTGTTTAATGAAACCAGATTTGGTTCCTAAGTGATCCCTCTGTAATAAATTATGATGGAGAAAAAAATGACCTGATCGGGTTATCAATTAGAATTATTGCATACCTGCACCGAGGTATCTTTATAACCCAAGAAAAATATTTAAACTAAGAGATCAAAGGTATATAAAATTATCTGCTCTGCGATTTAGAGCCCAGTGCCTCTTCCCTGCATGGCTACGTCTGTGATACGAAATTATAAGAAAGTTTGCCATTAAAATCGTATTCGCAGTCGTTAGGTTGAAATGAAAAGTCAAAATGTGAATTACTAGACAAAATTTATGTGAACCTTTTTTCACATAAGTGTAAAATCCAAGCTTCAAATACTAACGTTCTCAGTTTAAACGTGAGTCCAAAGCTAGTAAGGTGCTGCTTCACCTTAGTGAATAATGTTTAAGATACTAAAGAACATTTTTCACTAAAATCGTTTCTCCAATTATACATCCTGTGTCACGTGTAGAGAAAAAACAGCTGTGGAGTGCTTCACTTACCCCGTAGAAAGTTGTGTCATGACTAAGAAGCTCAGCGTGTCTCAACAGCTTACCTTACTGTAGCCTAAACTCAAAAAAGGCATTGTAACTAATAGAAGCAGAATTAACCCCTCTGTTTTATTATATGGATTGCTCCATGGTAACCTTTAGATCGACTTCCATTTTAAATTTCCTTCCTAGCGACAAAACTACTTCTGGAAATATTAAAAAGACACTTAGAGCTGTGATAAAAGTTATTTGTACCAGTATTAGCATAAACAGACTAAGGAGTAGACAAATAGAGAGAGTGGTTTACTAACATAACACAGAAATAACATTATATTATTTATTTGAAATGCAACAATAATTGAAATATTATAGTTTATTTCAAAGAAAATAATGATTTGTTGTTACTATTATTGACTCATACGTAGGTAAACTGATTTTTAAAAAGCTCATTAAGAAGTCAAAATCATGCAATCATCCTATATCCTACTGCAACGTTACTTATTTCTTACTTTTCATTCCTATTTGATTATTTATCATTTCGTATTTGATGCCACTACTCCAATAGTTTCACAAGTTGCTTTTCCCAGTTTCTGCACCAATTTACAGTTTTTAGAGAGATTTGTATTTCTTATATGTGTAGTAATAGTCAGATTAAACTGATTTCCACAAAGAGTATTAGATGAGTCTGCTCTATAACGGGATGATCGGCGGGATAAACTACAAATTAAGTTTGAATTAAACTATTAAGCAAATAAAAAAACATATTGGACATGATGTATAGTACCAAATAAAAACCATTTTTATTTATGTCAGAGAGAAAAATACAGTGTACGTAGTTGCTTTATGAAACTGGGCAGTCACCTGCTACTGAATTCATGAATTGAGTAATTGATATTTTCCTCTCGAAATATTCTTCCATCAACCAGCTCACTAGAGATCCTGTGTAGGCTGTTTAAATCTACCATTTTTTACTCAATAGGATATGTCTTATTTATCCAGAGTGAATAGTGCTACTCACTTGACTGGTCATTTTAATTCAGTATAAATGAGGCTGCAACCGCAAAATATCATCTTTCCTCTTGAAAAAATTTGAATTGTAACAGCAATATCTCTACATGGACAGGGCAGGTATTATCTCTAGTGAACAACAAAGGAGAGAAGGTAGCTAGATTTGTTTGTTTGTTTGGAATTAAGCACAAAGCTACACAATGGGCTATCTGTGCTCTGCCCACCACGGGTATCGAAACCCGGTTTCTAGCGTTGTAAGTCCGCAGACATACCGCTATGCTACTGGGGGGCATGCAGCTAGAACAAATTCAGTTAACAGACGTAAATTGTACTGTATGTTACTGTAAATTTTACAGCAACTGAATGCATTTGAAGGATATAGTATGCTACTGTAGTATTTAGAATAGTATACTGCTTTACTGTGAGTTACATAGCTGGCTATTGTATTTTTTACAGTTACATGTCCTGCTATTCTAATTGCAGTAATTACCAGGAATTGGACTATTGACATATGCAAATTTTTTTTGCAAGTAAAACATATAAAAAAGTTTTTTTCCAATATAATAAA